GGGGGGGGGAGTGCCCTCAACATACCTTCAGTCTAGGGGACCCCTTTGCCCATGGAACTGACACGGTGGGGGCCCCACAGTGAGCCTTCAGCCTGTGGTTCTTTTAACCAGGAATTGATGTGGTGGGGACTTCATAGCACTCTCACATAAGGGGATCCCTCTTTCACTGGGGAAGCTGATATGAGGACACCTCGAGGCAGATCCCCAACATCCTAGGGAACCTGTCCTTAGTTCAGAGAACATGATATAGTTGGAGCCCCTTTAACTTTGAGGAATGTGCTGAGGTAGAGACCCATGACTGGGGAACCTGAAGCGATGGTACTCCTTTTACCTGTGACATGGTAGGGACCCCTTTTACCTAGGAAGTGTGATGTAGTGGGGACCTCATTGACCCTGAGACATGATACACTATTTAATACCCTCAGTTTAGTGTAAGTAACCCTCATTGCCCGGGGAATCTGACATGTTGGATATCCCTTTTGCTTGGGAACATGATATGGCAGGAACCCCTTTCCTGGGAAGTGGAAAAGAGGCCTGCTGGGTTTCCCATGATAGCTTGGGGAGGGCACAATGTTCCCTGCCCTCCCTTCCAAGCATAAGCCCCTTTTTCTGGCCTCCCTGGCAGGTGGTGACAAACAGAGATACCCAGGAATTGCTGCTCTGCACTGCCTATGTCTTCGAGGTCTCCACCAGTGAGCGTGGGGCTCAGCATCACATTTACCGCCTGGTCAGGGACTGAAGGGGGATCCCAAAACTGGCTAACCCCAGAACACTCTTCTCCCAGGAAGGAACCTTCGGCTCTCCTCATGCTTCTTATTTGAGGAGAGGGCTGAAATGAAAAGGGAATGAACTCACAAGCCTAAGCACCTGGGGCTGACCCCTGTTAGAAGGGACCCCAAAACATGGTTGGTGAGACGAATGGGCTGGGACTGAAGAAAGGATAGACCTTGATAGTGGGAGCTCACAGGGGATGTCTGAAAGGATTTATCACTCCAGACCATCAGGGATTGGGGACAGGAGTGAGACAACCCCCAGGTACAGCACTGGCTTAGCCTCTGACAGCCCTTCTGGATGTTTTGGAGGGCACTAGTCACACATTGGCTTTTACTGCTTCCTGTCTTCCAGTTGCCTCTACCCTCCCATCCCCCATGTGATCAACCCTTTCTGTGCAGGAGCAGAGCCAGGTGGGCCCTGGACTTTCTTTTTTTAATATGACGAGATATTTATACGTGGGTGTTAGGGTTGTGACTTTGTTTCAACTGGGCAAGCAGTGGGGTGAGGCTTTCTAGTCTCATTCCCCCCTTCTACGTGAGTCGTGGGCTAGACTTTGTTGCCTCCATCCCCCTCCCAAAATGGGTTGGTTTGCATTCTCACAGAAGATAAAGCTATTTTACCAAAGTTCAGGAAATTTATTTGAGGTTTAGGCGAAAGATAATCTTGTGGGAGGTGGCAGGCCGGTAGATGAGGCAAGGAAACGAAGCCCCGGGGGAGAGGTACAGCAACGGGGCCGCAGACACCTGGGTCCCCAGGGGAGTGAGGAAGCCTCAACGCCTGGGGCGAACTGCGGATTAAACAAATATTTACAGGCGGCAGGGAAGTGCCGGGCACGTCAAAGGGTCGGGGCGGGGCCTAGCGGTATCGAGCCAGCCGATCGTAGACGTAGTCCAGGTTTCTGCACAGGAATATCGACAGCGTCATGAAGCCGAGCTACAGAGAAAGGAGACGCCGTCAGAAAGGGCGAAGGGGTGCCGGCGATGCGTGCGGGGTCACCGGAGCCCCAGAAAAGTGAGGGGGCGGGGCCAGGGGAAGTACCGGGGGACAGGGTCACGGGGGTGGGTAGCAATGGGCGGGGCTAGAGGGAGAACTGAGAAGTGGCAGCTAATGAGGCGTGAACAGCTGGAAGAGGATGGAGAAACCCGGCTGCAGTAAGTCGAGATAGAGCCTGACAAAGTAAGGTTAGAAGGAAGCAAGCCTCGAGTCCTTTATTCTGGAAGCTCATCTGTGTCCCCCACCGTCTTGGCCTCTAATTCCGCCTCGGCCTCTAATTCCGCCTCGGCCTCCACTTCTGCACTTGTGCTCCCGGTCTCGAGCTGCTCCTCATCCTGATCCCAAAGAGGCCAGGGCCCCAGGGCCATGGGCAGCTTGCCCTGCGGGGCCTTCTCCCCCCAGCTGGGGCAAGCTCCCGCCATGCCCCAGCCACCCCACGGACTGCTGCTACGCCCGCTGCTGCTGAGGGCGCCATGGCGCCCGCCGCCACTGTCAGCGCTCTGGCCGGGGCCGGGTCTCGAACCGTCAGCACCCGGCACTTGCGGCTGTGTCTCCCGGCGGAGCGTCCTGCGCTGTAGCTGCAGGCTCAGTACCATGACACCCACCTGCAGGGAAAGGGGAGCGATACTGCCAATAGCAGGAGTCTGCGTACGGCCAACCAGGGCTCGCAGAAGCTAGGTCTCCTCCATTCTGTTTACTCTTCCGATCTTGTGGGACCGCCACTGTCAGCGCTCTGGCCGGGGCCGGGTCTCGAACCGTCAGCACCCGGCACTTGCGGCTGTGTCTCCCGGCGGAGCGTCCTGCGCTGTAGCTGCAGGCTCAGTACCATGACACCCACCTGCAGGGAAAGGGGAGCGATACTGCCAATAGCAGGAGTCTGCGTACGGCCAACCAGGGCTCGCAGAAGCTAGGTCTCCTCCATTCTGTTTAAGTGGAGCTACGGGAGGGCCGGGATGCGAGGACGTGCAATGAAGGGCGGGGCCATCTAGGGATTATAAAGCCAAACGCGAATGGGGGCGGGGCCAGATCACCTCGAATAGGCTGATTCCCAGACAGACTCCCACAATGGAAATGAGGTTGTTGTGCAGCCACTTCTGAAGGCTCTGCGCGCAGCCCTGGGGGCGTAGGGAAAGATTAAAGGTAGGATTCTTTCTAGGATTTGCCCTCAAGCCCAAACCGCGCGTTCTCAGCCCAGCCCTCGCCTCTCTTCAGGCACCGATCCCCTCCCCTAGTTAACCAGGGTTCTCTGGTCTCTGCGCCTTCGCCTCATCTCGTCCGAGCTTTGCCACTCCTCAAACATCAGTGCTCCAGATCCAGCCCGGCTTTTTCTTTAGGCCCCATCCTGAGTGTAGGCCCCTCTCCTATAGAGCTCCGCCTCCTGTTGTGCGGTTCCCTTCCTCGTAGCCCCACCCTTCTCGAAGACACTGCCCATTTAATAAGGCCCCGCATCCTGAAGGTCACGCTCCTCGCCTGCAGCCCAGCCCCTCCCGCAGGACCCGACTCACTAGGGCAGTTCCTGCTCTAAACCCCTCCCCACCTCGCGGTAGATGTGGCTTTTTGCAGAGACCACGCAGAGGTCTGTACTGGGTCCGGGCCGCGCCAGAGGTGAGAGCCGGCTGAGCTGGGGGAAGGTCATCTTATCTAAGACTGCGGAGTCGTTGGCCGACGATGAGTTGTAGCAGGAGCAAGGCACACGGTGCGCCTCCGACTCGTTTCCTCTCAGGATGAGGACCTGGAACCAGTCCTGCGGAGAGTGCCAGCCACAGCAGCGCAGCTGGGACAGGGATACGAGTCAGAGGGACTGGGACTGGAGAGATGCAAGAGGATGCTGGGGATCAGGGGACTAGGTGATGGGTATGAGGTTATGGCCGGGAGCAGGGGGCTATGTGGTGGGTGCGGGGTGGAGGACAGTGGGCCAAGCTGGGGTCGCAGTGAGATCAGAGGACATGATGGGAACATGAGGCAGGGAGAGACAGGAGTAACGGGGTGACGTGGGGCTGGGGGAGGAGCTGCAGCATCACCCTATGGACCGGAGACTGGGTGGGCGGTGAAATTCAGCCTTAGAAGGGGGACAGGTGGATGGGAGTGCGGGGCCACGTGTGTGTCCAGGGAATGGAATGTCACGTGAGATCAGAGGACATGATGGGAACATGAGGCAGGGAGAGACAGGAGTAACGGGGTGACGTAGGGCTGGGGGAGGAGCTGCAGCATCACCCTATGGACCGGAGACTGGGTGGGCAGTGAAATTCAGCCTTAGAAGGGGGACAGGTGGATGGGAGTGCGGGGCCACGTGTGTGTCCAGGGAATGGAATGTCACCCGGGTCGGGGACCTGTGGGATCCAGAGTCACTACGGGGTAGGAAGCCGGGTCACGCTAAGGGGCTTTGGGTTGGGGACCGAGCCAAGTTGCAGCGGGGGCAGAATCTCATCGAGACGGAGGGTGGAGCCACGTCAGGGTCGAGGTACTGGGGCACGTTGGAGTTAGTTAGGTTATCATCTGGGGGCAGGACCACGTTAGGCATGGCAGGGGTTGGGATACTTTAGAGTCCTGGAGTTGGGCCTGGGGCTACGTCAGAGAGGCGTCACCTCGAAGCATAGAGCCGAGGCACGTCAGAGTCTGGGAACTAGAGGACGGGTACCCCTCAGAGTGGGGTGGGAGGCTCACGCACCTGGAACTGCACGTAGTCCCAACTCTCCTCGGCCACTGTGTCCTCCGGGTTGGCGTGGTAGTTTTGGATGGTCTTCTTTACGATGTCCTGCACGCTTCGCTCCACCTGAGAGGCCACGAATGAGGCTGAGCTCTATCTGCCCTGCTCCAGCCCCTCCCAGGCTGTCTCAGCACCAAGGGGTCCTTGTGCATCTTTGTGTTGGCCTCAGTTCTTCAATGAATGATCAGCTATGTCTCTGTTCTTCAGACTCTCTGTGCCCGTTTTTACCATCTTTCTGTTTCTCCCACTATTTCTAGGGGTCAAGTCTCTCTCTCTTCTTGAGGGGCTTCTGTTTCTCTGCATGTTCTTTCTCTTCTCTTTCCTGCGTGTTTACCTTTGGTTCTTTTTCTCTCTCCCCCTCCATCCCTGTCAGTGTGTCTTTCTCTGACTTTGTATCTCTGTCTTTCTGTCCTCTATCTCTCTCTGTTATTTCTCTTTGTCTATGTCAGCCCCTGTCTGCTTTGTTTTCATCACCCCCACCCTGGGGGGTGAAGTGGTGCTGGTGGCCACAGCCAACTCACCCGGACCCGCTGAGTGGAGATAAGGATTCCCAGGGTGATCTGTGTGGCAAACAGGAGCAGCAGCATCCCAAAATACTGGGGGGCAGAGTGAAGAGGTAAGGCTGACCCCTTCCCCAGGCCATTTTTGAGGGCTGGGCAGAGGTAGGGAACAGGAGTGATCCTAGGGATGGAGATGGGGTGGGGCACTCACCAGGCTCAGAAGGCAGCGGAGCTCCTTGAGGGCCCCCACACAGCCCAGGAGGGCAAGGCCCATAGTGAGGATTCCCGAGACGGCCAGGACCTTGGACCAGATCTGCAGGGGCAGGAAGGATAAGCCTGGGAGAGGTGAGAAGCAGTGATGGTGAACGCAGTGTTCACAGCTGCAAGCAGCTCCATCCCCTACCTAGGCAGCCACCTAAGTGGGGAGGAGTATCTTGGGGGGCTCTCTCTGGGCTTCTGGCATCCCAGGTCTTTGCCTCTCTCTGGGACTCTGGCCCTGCCCCACCCTGAGTTTCTGTCTCTCTTCTTCTGGGTCTTTCTCCTCCTCTCTCTAGATCTCTGCCTCCTCTTTCTCTCTGCGCCTCTATACCCCCTCAGCGCCCCATCTCTGTCCGTCTCTTTTGCTCGCATTCTTTCCTTCTTCAGCTTCTCACCCTCAATAGTTTGAGCCCCATCACTTGTTTTGTCACATTGGTGTGGTCATTTAAATCTCCCTGAGGCCTAGGGCGTAGCGACATCTATTTCCTAGGGTTGTTTTGAGAGACACATGGGAGCATGTGTTCAACCCAGTCCTCAACACAGGGCAAACACTTATAAAATATGAGCTGCTAGGATTTTGATGATTGCTCCATTATTATTTTCCCATTATTGTTATTAACGTTATTTCTGCTCTTCTACTTCCTTGCTGCGTGACACTCAGCAAGGGACTTCCCCTTGCTGAATCTCAAGAGGGTTTGTGGGAGGATCTGATGAACACCACAAGAGCAGCACAAAGTCTAGCACATAGGAAGTGCCTGAGAAATGGCTATCATTCTTTTTTTTTGGTGACTGGCTGATACGGGGAATCTGAACATTTGACCTTGGTGTTATAACACCATGCTCTAACTAACTGAGCTAACAGGCCAGTTTTATTGTTATTACTGGTATGCACAACCACATTTGCCAGAGGAAGACACAGGCTCTGAGAGGCACAGCAATGGCGAGCAGTGGATCAGAGCCTGGGACCTGCCTAGGGAGTTAGGCACCGTGAGCCTCCTTGGAACAAGCGAGACCCCAGGAGATCACTAGGGGGAAGGCTGAGTCTGTGTCTGCTCCAGGAAGGCCCTCCCCGACTGTCCCAGCCCCCCTCACCCACAAAGGACACGAAGCTGGTCTTGTCGATGAGTATCCAGATGCCAAAGCAGAAAATAAGGCTGCCTAGGACCTGGGGAGAGGAGATGAAAATACGGTTGTGGGCAAAGGGAGATATAAGGTCTGGGGGCTGGGGAAGGGCCCGGGCTGGGGAGCATGAGGCAACTCACAAAGAAGAAGAGGTTGAAAACGAAGAGGAAGTACTTGATGAGGCTGAGGCAGCTCTCCTGGGCCGACATCTTCACCTAGAGGGGTGAGCAACCAGCTTGAGGGACCAGACAGAAGAGGTGTTGGCAGTGGGG